TATGACTGAGACGGGGAAAACTGAAAGGAAATCAGATAGGATGATAAGGTGCAAAGACCATGAGCTTGATGTGGGCTTGAGTTCAATATTCACAGATTGTGTTTTGGGTTCCCTTGATGCATCCAAGCAGAGGAGCCCAGTAGGCAAATGGATGTGGGGTTTTCCTGGAGATACAGAAGATTGCTGGCTGTGTGGTGGTGGAAGAACTCATCCAGACAGGGAGTGCAGTGTGAGGTGGGAAGTCAGCAAGGATGAGTTTGATTAATGGGCCAGGAGAAGATAAGGCTGCAGAGAAGATGGGGAAAGGGATCCAAGAACTAGGAAGATGGCAGGTTTCTGTTCATTCCTTCATTTTGTACTGCATTGATTCAACTTTAGAGCTAAATCAGAGACACATTAAATTTTTTCCCCCAAACTTTAAAATTTTTATTTTGTATTGAGATATAGTCAATTAACAATGTTGTGGTAATTTCAGGATAGACATGTTAAATTTTGAATCTTTGATTAAAGCTGTAAAATTAAAATGTTATTGCATTTCTTTTTAATCCTAATTTTAATTGAGATATCATTTACATTTAACATTGTGTAGGTTTAAGGTGTTCAGAATAATGATTTGATACATTTATATTGCAATATAATCTTCACTGTTAGCTAACACCTCAATTATCATTTCTTCTACTGGTGGGAACAATTTAGATCTAGTCTTTTAGGAAATTTGATGTTTAGAATACAGTTTTGCTGTCTGTAATCACTGAACTGTGGATTAGATCTCTAGGACTGATTTATCTATTATTTGCAAATAGATAGAACATCTTTGCCATTTCCATACCTCTAGCCCTGGTAACTACCATTTCACTTTCTTTTCTTTCAGGTTTTTTTTTAAAGATTCCATGTATAAGGGCTATCCTACAGGATTTGATTTTCTGTCTGACTTGTCTCACTTAACCCAATGCCCTCAAGTTCCATCCATGTTGTCCCAAATGGCAGGATTTCCTTCTTTCTTATGGCTGGATAATATTTCACTTCTGCACATCTTTTCTGTCATCTTTCTTTCTGGAATAGTTGGGTGGAAAATTTTATAAATTAGGGTAAATCTGTATCTACATATATATCTGTAGACACTATGTTATGTGCTGTGGTTAGTTGCTCAGTTGTGTCCGACTCTTTGTGACCCCATGGACTATAACCCGCCAGGCTCCTCTGTCCGTGGGATTCTCCAGGCAAGAATATGGTGATGCCATCCAGCCATCTCATCCTCTGTCGTCCCCTTCCCCTCCTGCCCCCAATCCCTCCCAGCATCAGGGTCTTTTCCAATGAGTCAACTCTTCGCATAGATGCATATAAAAGAAGGAGTGAAGACAGGACCTCTGCTGAACTGACTATTCAAGAATGATGTGTGACTTTCGTGTGATTAAATGAGAGCTTTCATTTTAAATAGGACATCTGTATCAGTGCCGTGAAAGAGAGGGACATTGAACAAAAGCTGAAGCAAGTGATTAATGAATGGGACAACAAAACATTCACATTTGGCAGCTTTAAAACCCGCGGAGAGCTCCTCCTGAGAGGAGACAGTACGTCAGAAATCATCGCCAACATGGAAGACAGCTTGATGTTACTGGGTTCCCTCCTGAGCAACAGGTAGGACAGTCTTTCCCCTGAGATTTGAGAACTGTAATACCAAACACTTCAAGGGAGATTAATTAAGAAACACAACAGTACCCCCCCATTTAATTTATTCAACATCAAAAGTACTTGTTTTAATTTTAGCCCTTGACACAGCATGGATAATACTGTTTTTATTTCATTATCCTCTCTTTGGGGGATGTGTTGGAGTCTCTCAATTGGGCAAAATAACGCAACATGTAATTAGCCACTTGGATTTTGCAGAGTATTTCAGCTTTGCTGCTGACAAGCCTCACTGCACAGCTGACAGCTCGACAGGCTCTAGATTCCAGAGGGAAAATTATTCTGAATTTTAGAATAATTATTTTACTTCAGAAACCTTTTCGTCAACATCTACGGACTAGAAACCCTTAGTTGTGTACATGCTTTAATGAGGTGACAGATTAAGATGGAGAATGAATGTGATTCATAAAGGGAATTAAAACAGCACAGACTGATACCAACCTAACATTTCTGTTAGACAACAGCAGTAGGGAAAGCTGCCATACTTTGGACATGTGACCCAGAGACTCATAATTTCTTTGGTTCAGTGCTTCCTCTTGCTCTGTTTGAAATATTTTTGTTGTTTACCAGGATTTTCTCAAATATAGGGTGATTGTGTAAGTGTTTGAAATGAGTAATAGAGAGTATAAAATTAGGTCTTAGAGATTTAGACCATTGGTAACCTTGAGTCTGCACTGTTGGGTTGGCCAATATGGAAAAACCTTAATGGACTTTTTGGCCAATGGATTAATTAGAATTTGGTGATTTTTTTTAAAAATGAATTTGGTTACTGTTTACACCCAACCAGAATTAAGGACAGATGGAAGATAACCTACCCTATGGAAGTAGAAAAAGTACACATATACCTTAAGTAAACATAGTGTTAGGAATGGGTAACCTTTTCTTACCGATAGCACTGAACCCACAGACAGAGTTGTGTGAGGAACACGTGTTCAGCAGAAATTTAGGGAACACCTTCCCTGTGCCATGGGCTTCCCTGGTGGCTCAGTGGTAAAGGATCCATATGCAATGCAAGAGACTCGAGTTTGATCCCTGGGTTGGGAAAGATTCCCTGAAGAATGAAATGGCAACCCACTCCAGTATTCTTGCCTGGAAAATCCCATGGACAGAGGAGCCTCACAGGCCACAGTCCCTGGGGTTGCAAAAGAGCTGGATAGACTTAGGGACTAAAGCACCATCAGCACCGTGTGCCGTATGGTCTTCTGGGTGCATTGGATAGAACAGTGAGTGGAACAAATATCTCTGTTGCTCTGGACCTATATCCTTGTGAAATACATGAATAAAAACCCCAGAAAGATGAGTAGAATATTAAAGCAATCTGTTTAGCACATAAGAATATGGAAATGAAAATTTTATTCACTAATATGACTAATAGTTGAGATGACTTCAAGTCCATTTAATGTTGGACTAGAGAGACCAATAAACAGAGAAGAAAGAGAAGAGGAAAAGCAATGAAAGGAAGTACAATCATTTAGGATTAAGATTGTCTGCAAATAACAGAAGCGCCATATGCAACATTGCTTAAACAAGACTGAAGTTTGTATCTTTCTCACGTACAGAGTCCCAAGGTCAAGGGCTCAGGTGGGAGTGTGGGCTCTGCCACCTCACTGGGGCCCCAAGCATTGTCCGACTCACTCTGTTTTCCAGGTGTAGCCCTTCTCCTCCATCTATTCTTTACATCCAGTGCTGCTGCTCACTTCTCATCTGGAAAAGTGGTTTCCAGATTTGGCTACACACTAGCCATAGCTTTGTTATTGTTGTTCAGTCGCTCAGTCACATCTGACTCTTTGCGACCCCATGGAGTGCAGCACGCCAAGCTTCCCTGTCCTTCACCATCTCCCGGAGTTGCTCAAACTCATGTCCATCGAGTAGGTGATATCATCCAACTGTCTTATCCTCTAGGGAACTTGAAAAAAAAAAAACAACTCAGTGTTTGTGTTGCATCCCAAACTGATTGAATCAGAGTTCCTGGGGGTGGGGTCTAGGCAGACATTGATAGTTTTTCATGTTTATCAGATAATTAGAATATGCAGCATGGGTTGAGAAGTATTGATGTGGAACTTAATCTCCCAACTGTACATTGCTGCAAAGGAGGCTGGGAAATTCAGTATTTTAACCAGGCACCTGTGAGTGTAGGTAGAAATGGGGTTGTATATCTAAAGAAGAAGGAGAAAAAGATCAAAGACTTTGGAAGACCACCGTCATTTTCTGCCTCAAGAGGAAAATGGGAAGATAGATTAACTATGAGAGAAGCAGAGAAGTGGCTGTCATGTGTGGACATGAAGAAACCCTCAAACATATGTGTACACACAGATATGAGTGAGGTAGACAGGAGTGGATGGGAAGTTGGAAAGAGGCCCAGAAGAGGGCAGGCTGAAGAGAGAGTCCAGACAGTATCAGACTTGAAAATTGAATTAGTTGTTTGGTCCCTTCCAATGATTCTGTAATGGTTCCATATTGCATGAAAAACCAGAGACTCCATGGAAAAGGCACCGAAGGTCAGCAGAGAGAAAGTTATTCCCGTGACTGCAGCAACAAAGGCTAGAATGAGTGGAGTCCAGTCTAAGGTCTGATCTGATCCTCAGATGGCACGTCTCCCACCTCTAGGTTGTGTGTGCTCAGTCATGTCCAACTCTTTGCAACTCCTTGGACTGTAGCCCACCAGGCTCCTCTGTCCATGGGATTCTCCAGGCAGGAATACTGGAGTGGGTTGCCATTTCCTACTGCAGGGCACCACTCTATGCTCTGAATCAAAAGGGGGAAAAGTCAGTTTAACAATGCCCAGCATGGAGTGATGAATTAAGCATTCAGTAGCATCATTTTATCTATTTTTGATATTTTTCATATGAAAACCATAGCTTTATTTTTAAAAATTATTTTGTTTATTTATTTTCAAATGAAACAAAGATGAATATCTTTAATGATAAAAGGTACAATTCACTAAGAAGATAGACAGAATAAACCATTAGACACCTAACAATAAAGAAACAAAGACACATAAAGCAAAAATCAGAAGAAATATAAGGGAAAAGAAAAACATAAAATCACAGTGAGACATGTTAACATTTCTCTGAGAATATTTTATCAAGTGCAGAAAAAATAAGAGTAGGAGCATCGTGAATGATGTCATTTAATGAATAATTAAATGTAATAGATTTCTACTTATATTAATCTTATATCCTACACAAATATGGTAACATCATTTTAAAAGCAGCCACATATGATTCATGTCAGTGTATGACAAAATCCACTACAATATTGTAAAGTAATTAGCCTCCAACTAATAAAAATAAATGAAAAAAAAAAAAAGCAGCCACATAATCAAAGTTGTAATGGAATATGTGAAAATCAAGAGTTTTAAAAACCTCCTTAGTTTGCAAACAACAAACATGAAATATCCCAAATCCCCAAATTCTTAATGTGTTTCTTATCTTAGGTACAATATGCCATTCAAAGCCCAGATTCAAAAGTGGGTACAACACCTTTCCAACTCAGCAGACATAATTGAGAACTGGATGATGGTGCAAAACCTGTGGATCTACCTAGAAGCCGTCTTTGTGGGAGGGGACATTGCCAAGCAACTTCCCAAGGTCTTAGAAATTTCTCTTTGATTTCATTAGGTTTTTAACTTCGAGAACTAATAGCTCATTATCCCTTTAAAAATGCAAAAATATTTCTACCTCTATTGAACCACCCCTTTTCCATCTTTTTGTTGTTGTTGTCAAACTATTCTTGAGAGAGAGAGAGAGAAATTGTGAAAGAGAGGGGCATGGAAATAAGAGTAAGCATGCTTTAAAATTGTGAAGTTTTATAGGAAATGGAGGGTTAAAAATCAAAGAATGAATGCCTGCATAATTGATATACTTCTTCAGATAATTTGAAGGTAGAAATTAGAACACTGTGGAATTACAGTTGTTATCTTGACAATGGTAGGATAATTTGTTCTATTACTGACAGCTTAAAATAACTCACACTATAAAATATACCCAATTATATCTGTAGTGTAAAATTGAGGGGTGGGAATCTGCAAGGAAAAACTCCCAAACAACACGGGCCTTTTATCAAGATGTTGAGTGTTTTTCTCAACAAATTATAATCATATCACTAGGTACGTATGGAGTATATTTTGAGATTAAAATTTTTTCTTTTTTACCAAATTTCAAGGAGTCTTATCCAATTACCTTAAATTGTTTGCAAAATTATAACACTTTAACAATAAGAGTTTTAGAAGCATGATAATGTTGAGTGTTCACTTCAGTTTCCTTAGCTTTCTCTTTGGTTAGTTTTCAGTTTAATTATAGAGGACAGATCTATTAGCAGATGTGTGTATGTGTGTGGCTACCAATGAAATATATCCATTCATTAAAATTTTAAGTATTTATTATTGCACTTATATTTGGGCATGTTTTTCTTCTTGATCAGTGAAGAAGAGTCTCAAATTGGACTTAATAATGGAAACTTTCACATACAATGTTGGAGGAGCTAGGTGGAGTTTCTTGGTCTCATATTTTATATATGTGCTTAAAATTCAGAATATTTTAAGAATAAAAAGTATTCCTACTCTCTCAAACTCTACATTTTCCATTTTTCCCAAAAAAGTCTATTCAAAAATATTTCAAAATATTAAGGTTATATTATAATTAATTTTAATTATAAAATTTTAAAATGTCTATTTTTCTAAATACACAAATGATTCAATGCTCAGTTTAGAAAACTTGAAAAGCATAAGATTCACTTAATTTGGAGATAATTGAAAACAATTGGGAAGGTCCTTTTCTCCCAGATTATCTTATCTTGTATTATTATTTTTATATCTACTTTCTGTTTTCAGTTAACATAATGTCAGTCCCAGGTTTGAGCTGAAGATTCTTATTTAAGAAGGGATCAGTTCAGTTCAGTTCAGTTGCTCAGTCGTGTCCGACTCTTTGTGACCCCATGGGCTGCAGCACGCCAGGCCTCCCTGTCCATCACCAACTCCCAGAGCTCCCTCAAAATCATGTCCATTGAGTCTGTGATGCCATGCAACCAACTTATCCTCTGTTGTCCCCTTCTCCAGCCTTCAATCTTTCCCAGCATCTGGGTCTTTTCCAAGGAGTCAGTTTTTCACATCAGATGGCCAAAGTATTGGAGCTTAAGCTTCAGCATCAGTCCTTCCAATGAATATTCAGGACTGATTTCCTTTAGGATGGACTGGTTGGATCTCCTTGCAGTCCAAGTGACTTTAAAGAGTCTTCTCCAAAACCACAGTTCAAAAGCATCAATTCTTCAGTGCTCAACTTTCATTATGGTCCAACTCTCATACTTGAAGGGGTGCTATGGTGCAAAAGGCCCAGGAAGAATTGAAACAGAGCACATATGACGTTTCAGGTGTATGCAGATATCCAGACTGGTCAGAAGTCCAGCCTTAGAGGGTGAAACATTCTATCCTTGAGGTCACAGATGTGTCTGAGTGCGCCTTGTTACCTTGTTCTTGTAGGAAGCCAAGCGCTTTTCCAATATCGATAAATCTTGGGTGAAGATCATGACTCGGGCACATGAGATGCCCAGTGTGGTACAGTGTTGTGTTGGAGATGAGACCATGGGGCAGCTGTTACCACACTTGCTGGAGCAGTTGGAAATCTGCCAGAAATCCCTTACTGGGTAAGTTCACTGGCTTTGTGAAGGCTATTAGCATCCTATAGATGAAAGGGATCAGAGAAACTAGATGGAATTAACCAATGGTTTCCTTTTGCTTAGACTTTGTTCATGACCAACACTGTGGTGTAGATAAAACTGAGCATTTGGAGCTTTATCCACTCTCCAATGAATTACTATTAATTGATTTTCTCTGATGTTGAAATTATAAGATTAACAGCTTCTTCCATCACTGGGACAAGATCTTGCAAATATTTTCCTACATATATGAAAAATAATGAAAAATATTTTCATTGTTTTTAAAATGAATATACATGTTTTTTAAATATATTTCTTGGATAAAGATCTGAAGAAGCAAATTATTTCATTAAACTCAACTAAGTACAAGATAGAGAACTGAGAGGATGGATGGTGACTGCAGCCATGAAATTAAAAGATGCTTTCTCCTTGAAAGAAAAGATATGACCAACCTAGACAACATTTTAAAAAGCAGAGACATTATACTTTGCCAACAAACGTCCATCTAGTCAATGATCTAATACCTGTCAATATATGCAGACACATCTGCAGTGATGTATGTGGAGGCTGGATGAATTCCAAGAGTAATAAGTAATTTTCTCACTCTTTGGTGATAAAATCTTTGGTGATCATGATAACATCACTGAAGTAGAAATATGTTAAATATAGAAACAAAAGTGCAGCAAAAGTAGAGTGATGAATAGAACGAAAAATATTCACTGGGTTTTTGTAGCTCCTGGAGGCAGAGAACAGAGTCAAAACCCTTCCTTCCATGTAGCTGGATTTTGCTTCTGCTTCAGCGACTGATTCATTGGATTCTTTTAAGATACAGTCCTGTGACTTCCTTGGTGGTCCAGTGGTTAAGACTCTTGAGCTCCCAATGCAGGGGGCCTGGGTTTGATCCCTGGTTGGGGAACTAGATCCCATATGTTGCAACTAAGATCCTGTGTACTGAAACTAATATCCAGCACAGCTAAATTTAACAAAAAAATAAAAGGATACAACCCTAAAAGTTGGAATTGTCAGCCTTTAGCTGACATAGCATGACATTTGCAAACAAAACAAACACAAAACCAAAAAAAAACTCCCTGTGTGTAATTTTTCCTGTCCTCTACAAAGTACAAACATTTTCAGGTTAAGTCAAGTGTATGCATTATATTTGTGAAAAATGAAGAAATTTAATCAGTTCTGGAAAAAAACAATCTCCCAATTGAATATGGAATCCCACTTGGCAAAATTGGTAACAAAAGAAATGAAAACAGAGCAAAGCAAAAACATTGCGTGGGAAAATTAGTTTCTCTCAGAGTCTTTTCCCTGTCTCCATCCAGATTAACATATTCCTAGAAAGGTTTGTTTTGTGTGTTTGTGAAGTTTACCTTTTCCTCCCCACTTAGATACTTGGAGAAAAAACGACTTTGCTTTCCCCGGTTCTTCTTCGTCTCGGACCCCGCTCTCCTGGAGATTCTGGGGCAGGCATCAGACCCACACACGATACAAGCCCATTTACTGAATGTGTTCGACAACATTAAGACCGTCAAGTTCCATGAAAAGGTTTGCCTAATTCTCTTTGCTGGCCGGTGATTTACATATCCTGAAATCTCAACTGTCTTTATTAAATAGCTCCCCAGTAGTGTTTACTAAGGATTACTTCCCTCTCCATTAAACATCACCCAGTGACTAAAAAGATACATTTGGGCCCCATTTGCCTTCAGACCTTGTGATATTTTAATATCTAAAGGATAGATGTGAATAACAAATAGCTTAAATCTGATTAGGAATGCTTTGTATGTAGCATTCATGGCTTTACATGTCAAATTAACTGTTTAGAAATTTGTCAAAGCAAAAAAAAGCTAATAATTGTTTATCAAATAGTGCTTTGAACAGAATTGCCACAGTTGTTTGATTACTTTATTTTGTCTTTGTTGTTGTTCAGTTGATAAATCGTGTCTGACTCTGTGCAGCCCCATGGACTGCAGCATGCCAAGTTCCTCTGTCTTTCACTACCTCCTGGAGCTTGCTCAAACTCATGTCCATTGAGTCGGTGATGCCATCCAACCATCTCATCCTCTGTTGTCCCCTTCTTCTTCTGCTGTCAATCTTTCCCAGCATCAGGGTCTTTCCAATGAGTCAGGTGGCCAGAGTATTGGAGCTTCAGCTTCAGCATCAGTCCTTCCAGTGAATAGTCAGCATTTATGTCCTTATCTATTTTATATTTGTTTTATTTTATGGCTGCACTGCATGGCATGTGGGAGTTCCCAGACCAGTAACTGAACCCAGGGCATGGCTATGAAAGCACTGAATCCTAATCACTGGACCACCAGGAAATTCCCTGATTTAATTGTTTTAATGAAGCTTTGGACAGTTTTGATATAATGATCCTCTATGTTTTTCATCATGCTCCACTGAAAACTTTTCTTTTTTTTTCAAACACTCTGAATAAGTTTTAAGAATGGTGACATTCATGAGACCCAAAAGAAGTCATTCAATGTGAGGAAAACTACATTTGCACAGCTGCTAGAAGAGATTATCTAATTCACCCCTTCACCCCAAATTCCCTAAAAAATGACCCTTCCAGCTAGAGAACATATTCAGTTCCTCTCTGGTGCTTCATACAAACCTCAGTAGTATTTATTTGTTCATCCTAGAATGCAGTTCACATCAGTTGAGCAAATACCATAGACTGGCTATTGTGCTTAATAGTGGGAATATACCACCCTGAGGGAACTCGTGCTCTGGTGGGGTCTGCAGAGTTCAGCTCCTGCAGCGGTAGAGTTAGTCCATTGTGTGCATGTGTGTGCTCAGTCATGTCTGACTCTTTGCCACCCCATGGGTTTTAGCCCACTAGGCCCCTCTTTCCATGGAATTTTCCAGGCAAGAATATTGCGGCAGGTTGCCTTTTCTTCTCCAGGGATTCTTCCTGACGCAGGGATTGAACCTGTGTCTCTTGTGTCCCCTACATTGGCAGGTGGATTCTTGGAAGCCTTTAGAAGCCAGTCTTTTAACCCCTCACTGGCATAATGTCAGTCCTGGGGTTCCAAGGAAGAATATATTGCAACCCATACTTCAGCTGTTTTTATGCAGCACAACGTTCAAGAGAAATTTGGCCATTAAACTGTCGATATTTTTGATTTGCTGTGTTCATGTGTTTGTCGCTTAGTCGTGTCTGCCTCTTTGCAACCCCATGGACTGTAGCCCACCAAGCTCCTTTGTTCAAGGGATTCTCCAGGCAAGAATACTGGAGTGGGTTGCCATTTCATTTTCCAGGGGATCGTCCCGACCCAGGGAGTGAACCTGGGTCTCCTGTATTGCAGGCAGATTCTTTACCATCTGAGCCACCAGGGCAGCTCCTGCAACCCACTCCAGTATTCTTGCCTGGAGAATCCCATGGACAGAGGAGCCTGGCAGGCTACAGCCCATAGGGCTGCAAAGAGTTGGACCTGACTGAGCATAGCATGCATGCATGTGTTCATGTGATGTACAAGCATGGGAATGCCTGTCAGGGAGCCCTAACCTGCATGTAAGGGGTATACCAGAAGGCTTCCTGCAGGAGAACATGATGTTTGAACTGGTTTTTTGAAGGGGAGTGAAACATATCAGGCAGGTGGGGAAGGGACCCCCCTGACCTCTGCTTAGAGCAAGGGCAAGTGCAAGGGCCCTGGGGTATGGGCAGCCTGGGATGTCGGAAGTGTGGGTATGTTAGGAGTGTATTACTTTCCTAGGGCTTCCATGAATTAAAACAGAAAATTATTCTCTCATGGTTCTAGAGGCTAGACCTCCAAACTAAGATGTTGGCAGGGTTGATTCCTAATGGAGGCTCTGAGGGAGGGTCCGCCTGTCTCCTAGTCTTGCTGTTGGTCAGCAATCCTTGATGTTCCTTGGCTTGTGGACACACTGCTTCCATCCCCACCTTTGTTTTCATGAGACTTTATTCCTGTGTGTCTACATCTAGCTTTCCTTCTTCTAAGGATGCCAGTTATTGGATTCGAGTCCACTGCCATCCAAGGTGACCTCATCTTGATTACATCTGCAAACACCCTATTTCCAAGTAGGGTCTCATTCACAGGTACTCGGGGCTTCCTTCGTGGCTCAGACGGTAAATAATCTGCTACAATGCAGGAAACCCAGGTTTGATCCCTGAGTTGGGAAGATGCCCTGGAGAAGGGAATGGCTACCCAGTCCAGTATTCTTTCTTGCCTGGTGAATTCCATGGACAGAGGAGTCTGGCAGGCTACAGTCCATGGGGTCACAAAGAGTTGGACATGACTGAGTGGATGCCATGCATGGTCTGTTCACAATTACTAGGGCTTAAGGCTTCAATATATATTTTTGGAGGACACAGTTGAACCCACAACACAGGCTGATGAGCAAAGAGAAAGGAGGAGAAAGCGGCGTGGGCCATATTCCAAAGGGCCAAGTGCATCATACTATGGAATGTACTTCATCATGAATGTAACAAAAGGCGGGGGAGGTTTTCAGCAGAGAAGTGGCCTGATTTGTGTTTCAGAAAGATCTTCTGTGTCAGGGTAGGAGTTGGAATGGGACGGGGAGCAGGGGACGGCAGGGGANTTATTAGAGAATAAAAACAAAACAAACATTTGCCTTTACTTTATAATTGGCATCATAGTTATTCCTTAGTAACTGTGGAGAGGATTGGTTCCAGGACACCAGAGAATACCAAAATTCATGTAGGTTTAAGTTTCTTATATAAAATGTAGTAGTATTTGAATATACCTATGCATTGCTCCTTGGAAGGAAAGCTATGACAAACCTAGACAGCATAGTAAAAAGCAGAGACATCACTTTGCTGACAAAGGTTTGTATAGACAAAGCTATGGTTTTTCTAGTTGTCATGTATGAATGTGAGAGTTAGATCATAAAGAAGGCTGAGCGCTGAAGAATTGTTATTTTTGAATTGTGGTGTTGGAAAAGACTCTTGAGAATCCCTTGGACAGCAAGAAGATCAAACCAGTCCATCCTAAAGGAAAAAAACCTGAATATTCAATGGAATGACTGATGCTGAAGCTCCAATTCTTTTGCCATGTAATGCAAAGAACTGACTCATTGGAAAAGACCCTGATGTTGGGAAAGACTGAAGGCCAAAGGAGAAGGGGACCACAGAGGATGAGATGGTTAGATAGCATCAATGACTCAATGCGCATGAATTTGAGCAAACTCCAGGAGATAGTGGGGGACAGAGGAGCCTGGTGTGCTGCAGTCCATGGGGTTGCAAAGAATCAGACACAGTTAAGTGACTGAACAGCAACAATGCATGGTCCCTAGATTATTTACCATATAATGTAAATATTGTGTAAATAGTTGCCAGTATGTGGCAAATTCAAGTTTTGCTTTTTGGAACTTTCTGGAATTTTTTTCCCAAATATTGTTGATCAGAGGTTGTTTGGGTTCTTGGATTTGGAACTCGTGGATGTGGTGAGCCAACTATATTGTTTAATTGGCATGAGTGGCCGGTAAGGTGAGTAGGAAAGTAAGACAGGCATGATTTTTAATGACTAATTGGAGACAGGAAGTTTGGTCTCAGAGATCTGTCTTCCAACACCGGATGGTCAGTGGATAGCACAGCACCACCTGAGCTGTGTTTTGAACTCCAAATACTGCAGACATTCTCTTTATGCTGTACTGCATGGAAATGAAAGTGATATCACTAGACTAGGAGCTGGGTTTGCATTAGAAGATATTATGTGCAAACAACAGCCTCTGTAAAGAGCATAATGTTTAGTGTAGAATTGGAATCACCATGTGAGATGTTTGCATTGATCATTTTGGCCAGGTGATTGCTAAGGTCAACTTTATAAGTTGGTGGTATGGATGGCTGTCTCTCAGAGAGTCTCGTTTCATCTGGGGAAACTTTAGAGACTTTTTGATTATCACATTTGTATTGCATATTTCTCTTACAAAACAAAAATTTCCCTCTTAAGCATAGAGTATTTGAAATTGATTTAGTATTCCCTTTTTGATTTCATGGCTATCTTTTGAAAAAATTGTTTTGAAATTGAATTTGTATCGTACTTTGTCTTTTATTTTATAATATATAGCTTAAATTTCTACAGGAAGGATAACATTGACAAGAGGGCAATGGAGAAATTCATTCTTTATATAAATATAGCTTTTCTTGGGCTTCTAACACAGATCTATGATCGCATTCTGTCAATTTCCTCTCGAGAGGGTGAGACGGTTGAATTGCATAAACCCGTGATGGCAGAGGGCAATGTGGAAGTTTGGCTTAATTCTCTCCTGGAGGAATCTCAGGCCTCATTACATCTTGTGATTCGCCAGGCAGCAGCAAATATTCAAGAAACAGGTTTCCAACTGATTGAATTTCTTTCTTCCTTCCCTGCTCAGGTCAGTGTATTGAAATTGGAAAGTATTTTTTTTTTAACAGAAGTGTCATTTTAGATCTTATACATTGTCTATTATAGATGACACAACTGACTATAATTTAACTCTAGAACAATATTGAGATTTTCATAAGAATTTGTTAAATATAAATAAGTTTAAAGATTTCAACTACAGATTATTGCTGTTATGTATCTATATCTGTACATATATATTTATAGATATATATATATATCTGTGCTATAGAAATATTGGTATATTTTCTTTTTTTAATATGTAAGAGGTATTTATTTATTTTTCCTTTTTAAAATTTTAATTGGAGGGTAATTAATTCACAGTATTGTGATGATTTTTGCCAGACATCAGCATGAATCAGCCATAGGCATACATGTGTTCCCTCCTCCTGAACCCCCATCCTTCCTTCCTCCCCACCCCATCCTTCCACAGAGCACCGGCTCTGGGTGCCCCGCATCATACATCAAACTCCCACTAGCTATCTATGTTACATATGTTATTGTGTATGTTTCAATACTATTCTCTCAAAGCAACCCACCCTCTCCTGATGTAAGTCAGGAAGAGAGGCAAATATCATATATTAATGCATATATACATGGAATCTAGAAAGATGGTACCAATGATTCTACGTGCTAGGCAGCAAAGGAGTGGGAGTGAATATAATTTCTTCAATTTAAAATATTTTTTCCTACTGAATTTCTTTAGTACACAAATCATAAAGTGTACTGAGTGTGTTTTTACTAGAAAAATAAGACATACGTTTCAGCAATAAAGTACAGAAAATGATGTTTCCTTAGTGATGTGATCGGTAAAGATTTTGTGATTACTATGTATAAACCCTTTGTTGGTTTGATGAAAGTAGATTGAAGACATATTCTTTCCATGTCAGTAACTTTAAAATCTATTAAGGGAGAAGTAAGGTCCGTCTAGTCAAGGCTATGGTTTTTCTAGTGGTCATGTATGGATGTGAGAGTTTTAATAATCACAACTGTTGTAATTTCTATTTAAATATATTCATATGCCATAACACTCATAAAGCCTTTTTTGTTTCCATAAGGTTGGATTATTAGGAATTCAAATGATATGGACACGGGATTCTGAAGAGGCCCTTAGAAATGCCAAGTTTGATAAAAAAATCATGCAGAAAACCAATCAGTCTTTCCTGGAGCTACTGAACATGTTGATAGACATGACAACCAAGGACCTGAGTTCCGTGGAACGAGTTAAATATGAGACTCTGATTACTATTCATGTGCACCAACGAGATATCTTTGATGACCTGGTAAGTGCTTTATAAATGCTGTGGCATATACAGAAGAACAAATACTAGACATTATCTGTGTTTACCCACCAGGAATAGTGTGAATGAATTCAAAGAAAAGATAAAATTCAGGCAAAGAGGCATCTTTTTGAAGAGAAGTTGTCAGATTTTCTTTTCAGTCTTTAGCCGAAATTTCAGCCATTTTCTGATGGTCTCAGCTAAGGTGTTATGTAGGCAATTAGGCTTTATTTTGAAATTCTTTATGTGATCATTTTTAATGATGAAATGTCATGCATCATCATCAAGAACTTTCACTTGTCTTAAGCTTCTTTTGGTTATTAAATTGAAGATGACTAATTTCTTGATGCAGAAATAATAAATGATATTACTAGTAGAACTGGTTAGTAGTTTTAAGGGTTTTTATTAACATAAATCACATATTTAACAAGTTTTGCTGCATTTGTTGATTGCAAATGGTCTTTCCTCATGTAGTTTGTGACATTCAGTTGTCATGAAGACTTTTGCCTTTAAAAAAAGAGCAGGGATGAGAAAGACAGTTCCGTAGCTGTAGAGAATAGGAAATGTGAAATGAAATTTGCCCTCTGCTGTAAAATATGACATTAGATAAGAGGTATGAAGCTCTTATTTTCATAATAATTTTCTGGATCGTGTCTCACCCCATTATGTAAAAAAGATTATGAAAGGTTGGTTCTGATGTAATGGAAATAAAGGTGGAGCATTCAGCCTGTTATGTGCTAATCTCCTCTCCTAATAGTTAAGCACACTGTAGGCCTTTCTGAGAAATAAAGGACTCAGGGTAATTTTAGATTTCTTACTTGTAAAAAAAAAAGATTAAAGTAGCTTAAAGTTTTGGTTAAAAAATTTCATACAGAAGCATTGCTGGGCAATAACCTGCCAATTAGATGTTAGAAATTTTGGCCTGCTTCAAATCCTAGCGAGGATAATTAATGGATTATAAAACCCCCAACAATGTACTTAGTTATTACCAGAAGAGATGACTTTTTTTTTTCCCTGATGGGATTTTGTTTAGTTCTATCTTGGTAAGCCAAAAGCGGTTTTCATAGATTATTTCATGGTTCGGACTTGGCATTGGGCATTGAAGAATGAAAATTTAAGATATGAGCATCTTACTATTAAAATAGATCATGTTATTTAAATTGAGGGGCACAGTTAAGGGTTTCTCTTGAATTTTCCTTTTGTCATATCTTTGAAAGTATTTTTTTTTTTTTTTTGCTAATCAATAAATGAATGGGTTGGATGGNATGAGCATCTTACTATTAAAATAGATCATGTTATTTAAATTGAGGGGCACAATTAAGGGTTTCTCTTGAATTTTCCTTTTGTCATATCTTTGAAAGTATCTTTTTTTTTTTTTTTTTTGCTAATCAATAAATGAATGGGTTGGATGGTGATGTAGTTGACATCTCCCAACCAGCTGGGTTGTCTCTGAGTTCCATCACTTCACATTCTGATCTACCTGGATGTTGATGTGTATAGTTAATGAATGGTTCTCCTCTCGGTTTTAATATACACCTTCTGCATTTCAGTGTCACATGCATATCAAGAGCCCTTCGGACTTTGAGTGGCTGAAACAGTGCAGGTTTTATTTTAACGAAGATTCTGACAAGATGATGGTTCACATCACAGACGTGCCATTCATCTACCAGAATGAATTTTTAGGCTGCACTGACAGGCTTGTCATAACGCCGCTCACAGACAGGTGATGGAATGATTCTCTGATTCCTCAGCCTCTCTCTCCCCTCTCTCCCACATTTTCATTCTCTCCAGGCGCACAGCGATTTTGACTGATGGCCTCTTTTACACGAAACTCTTTGAAATTCAGTGTTTTGAGCTTTACCCATGTATCTTCACGGGGGGTTTAGGAGGTTTGTGTCTGAAACAGGCTTTGGTTCCTTTGCCTTCCGTCTTACAGAAGCTAAGTTTAAATAACCTTTGCTGCCGCTTCGCAGTTGCTCAGTCCTGTCCAACTCTCTGTGACCCCATGGACTGTAGCCCACCAGGCTCCTCTGTCCATGGGGTTTTCCAGGCAGGGATACTGGAGTGGGTTGCCATTTCCTCCTCCAGGGGATCTTCCCTAATCAAACTCATGTCTTTTGTGTCTCCTGCATTGGCAGGCGATTTCTCTACCACTGTGCCACCTGGAAAGCCCTAAATGAGCTCAGTGGATATCAAAGGAAAAAAAAAGTGAATTCATTGCTATGTATCAAGTGCAAATCACCATGGGTTTTGAGGGCTGCATCAGGGGACTGTGGCACTTTTATCATTACAGACAATAAAGGTGTTTTTTTTTTTTTTAAGCAGGAAAGAAATTGAGTGTGAATGCTGGTTCTCTGGTGGCTCAGTGGTAAAGAATCTGCCTGCCAGTGCAGTAAACGTAAGAGATGCAGGTTTGATTCCTGGTTTAGAGGAAGATGCCCTGGAATAGGAAATGGCAACCCACTCCAGTATTCTTGCCTGGAGAATTCCATGGACAGAGGAACCTGGTGGGTTCAGTCCATAGGGTCGCAAGAGTCGGACATGACTGAGTATGAATGCATGCACTGGTGAGAAGTGATGGGTTGGACATTGACTGTCCTGCCCTCTGCCTGTAATTAACCGCTGTATTAGCCAGAGCCACCATGTAGCTTCTCTGGACCGGGTTTCTTCATCTATCTCCAGAAGTCCTTCCTCCGTGGCTAATAGTCTGATTTGAACTTGATGGCATCCATTGTATATGTGCTGTTCAGGGATGCTTTGATACTTATTTTGGACCAAATGGGTGAGTGTTAAAATCAACATTTGGCTTAAAAAGAAGCTGACCCGAATATCAGTGATTTTCACAGAGTGAACCTCTGAGCTGTTAGATTGAAAATATTATCCCTGGTGGTCCAGTGGTTAAGATTAAGATTCCAGCCTTCCAATGCAGGGGTGTGTGGTTCAATTCCTATTTGGGGAACTAAGATCCCACATGTCAGGCCATGTGTGTTTGTGTGTGTGTATATGTGTATATATATATATATATATATATATATATAGGCTTCCCAGGTGGTGCTAGTGGTAAAGAACCTACCCGCGAATGCAAGAGACATAGGAGACATGGGTTTGATCTCTGGGTCGGGAAGATCCCCTGGAGGAGGACATACCAACCCACTCCAGTATTCTTGTCTGGAGAATCCCATGGACAGAGGAGCCTGGGGGATACATTCCATAGTGTCGCAAAGAGCTGAACGTGACTGAAGCACCTTAACACGCATGCATGTATATATATGATCAGACAAAATATAAAAGTTTGACGTCATAACCCTGTTTGCGAGATTTCACCTTCTGCTCTGTCATGATACCAAATGAAACGTTCACTTTCACCAGAGGATGGAGGGGTAGCAGGAGGTTTCGCTGTGTCCTTTCCCCCACGTCGTCTTGTCTTCATGCTCTATATTCCTTGTTATGTCTCATCAAAGCCGGTTTCCTCTGGATACTGTCAGACATTCGTTTGGAGTTTTCCTCTTTGAAGTGCAGAGGTGAATAGTGACAAAAGGTGGAGAATTCCTTGAAACACCGTCTGTCCTTTCAAACCTCAAACCTTTTCCTCTCTTCTTTTCTCTACCCAAGTCCTCGTTTCCTGTTTCACTGAGAAGATAAAAGGGCCTGCACTCGTTCCTCGTCGCGTCTGCCAACCAAGGGACCTGGCCTTGTGTCATCCACTCCCTCTCTTGGTTTATGGATGGATTTTGTGCTGTCATCCAAAGCCAGCACCCTGCTGACGTAGCTGTTTTGTCTTTGGGAGCATCATTAATTTTCACTTTCTACTGGATCATTCTCATCAATGTACAGCGTGCTGTAATTGCTTCCAGGCAGGAAATCCTACTGCAAAGCTCTGGTTTCCTCCCCATTTATGTGCTCACATCAAAACTCCTCAAAATCAGTTTTTAAGACTTAAATTTCATTGGAGTATAGTATAGTTACTTTATAATGTTGTGTTAATTTCTATTGTACAAGAAAGTAAATAGTATGCCTGCTTCATCAGATAAGTCGCTTTAGTTGTGTCTGACTCTGCAACCCTATGGACTGTAGCCCGCCAGGCTCCTCTGTCCATGGCATTTCCCAGGCAAGGGTACTGGAGTGGGTTGTCATGCCCTCCTCCAGGGGATCTTCCTGACCCAGGGATCGAACCCACGCCTCTCCAGCTCCTGCACTGCCGGTAGATTCTTTACCCACGGAGCAACCTGGGAGGCCCCAAATCAGCTCTGTGTAGCCCCTCTTTTTTTCATTTTAGTTCTCTTTTAGGTCACTATCGGGCATTGAATAGAGTTCCCTGTGCTATACAGTAGATTCGCATTAGCTTTCTACTTTATCCATTTCATCAGTAGTGTATATATGTCAATCCCGATCTCCCAATTCACCCCACCCCCCTTTCCACCTTAGTGAAACATCTCTATGTCTCTGTTTCAGACATGCAGTGTTTGTCCACCTATCTGACCTTGAATTCACTCCATTCAGGCTCTGTGTATTAGTTTCTGTTGCTATCATAACAAATGACCAAGCATTTAGAAGCTTAAACCACACAAATCAATTACTTTGGGTTTCCATACATCAGAAGTCTGACACACATCTTGTTGGACTAACCTTAGGTGTCAGCAGAAGTGTGCTCTCTCCCGGGTCTCTGGGGAGACCCCGCCCCTTGTTCTTTCTGTTGTTTGGCAGAATTCTTTCTCTTGTGGTTGCAGGACCTATGCCCCCACTTCCCTGCCGACTGTCAGCTGAGGGCTGTTCCCAGCCTCTGGAGGCTGCTGTTTACCTTGTTTTCTGGCCCCTTCCTCCCTCTTCACAGCCACAACCATGGATTGAGACCCATCTGATCTCCTTTTCCCATCTCATGTCTCTCACCCACTCTTCTGCTTCCCTCTTCCCCTTTTCAAGAACTCATGAGATTAGGTAGGGTCCACTTCTAATCCAGGGTCACCTCCCCATATCAAGGGCTTTAACATTAATTGCATCTTCAAAGTCCCTTTAGTTGTGTAAGGGAATGTGTTTGCAGGGATTAGGATGTGGATATATTTTTTGAGGGGGGCATTATTCTGCACATCACACTTTCTTCCCCTGGTAGAGCCATCACCCAGATCTTCGTGTTGCTGAATCTAGTGGTCATTTTTAGTTCTGCCCTTCCTTGACCAGTCAGCAGCATTTACACAGGTGGCCACTCTCTTTATTTTTTTTTTCCAGTTAATTAATTATTTAATTTCTTTATGTGTGTTTGGCTGTGCTGGGTCTCCACTGCTGCGCGGGCTCTTCTCTAGTTGTGAGGCGTGGGGGCTACTCTCTAGTTATACACAGGCTTCTCATTGCAGTGGCCTCTCTCATTGCAGAGAACAGTTCTAGGCATGTGAGTTTCAGTAGTTGTGGCACTCAGGCTTGAGTGGCCCCGTGGCATGTGGGATCTTCCCAGAGCAAGGATCAAACCCGTGTTGCCTGCATTGGCAGGCAGATTCTCGACCACTGGACCTCCAGGAAGTCCCACTCTCTCCTTTTTGATGCCCTTTCTTCACGGGCTTCCAGGTCATGACATACCTCGTTCCTTCATATAGTCTCCTCTAGGTCCTCTTCAGTTTCCTGACTTCTAAGCATAGAGCGCATCAGGGCTCTTCCCTTTTCCATCTACACTCACTCCTGAGATGATCTCATGTGGTTTTAAGTATCATTTAGATATGGACTCCCCAGTCTTGAACCTAGTAGGGGATTCTTCCCTTGAACTCCAGACACATACAGCCACTTGCCTACATTACATGTTTACTCAAATGCGTACCAGGAATTCACACTTAAGTTTGATCGTCCCCTCACAAACCTGCTCTCTTGCCATCTTCTCCATCTTTGCAAATGGCAATTCCATCCTTCAGTTGCTCACGCCAAAATCCTTGGAGCATTTTTGATGTCTTTCTTTTTCCCTTACTTTATTATCCAACCTGTCATGAAGTTTGGTCACTGACACTTTCAGAATTCACCTAGGATGTGACCACTTTTCTCCCCTTTGCTGTTATGACAGTCTCAGCCACCATCATCTCTAGGCAGATGATTGCAGTAGTTTTATTTCTGGTCTCCTGCTTCTGCCACTGTTCCTGACAGTCTGTTCTCAATGCAGATGCTGGAATATTAGCCATATCCTGTCATTCCTTTGCCTTGATCTCTCTACTGTCTTTCTGTCTTACCCAAGGTAAAAGCAAGTGCCCTTGCATTGACTTCCATGACCTGCCATGATCAGTCCCTGCTATTTACTGTCTCTCCTTCCTCATTCAGCTCCAGCTACTTGTTCCCTGGCTGTTTCTTGAGCAGTCTTAGCACACGGCTGCCTCAGGACCTTTGCACTTGCTATTGCTTTCGCTTGGAACCCTTTCCCCTGTGATACTGGCATAGCTCACTTCCTCTCCTCCAGGTCTCTGATCAGATGTCTCTGCACATAGGTCTTTGGTCCTGACACATTTGAATCAGCAACCCCCACCCCACACTCCCTAACCCAGCTTTATTTTTTCTGTTTTCTATTTTTAAATAGTTTGTTTCCTTCCTTTAGGATATCAGTTCTATAAGATATAGACTTTTTGTGAATTATTCACTGCTCCTAGAATAGTTCTGTTCCATTTGTTGTTGTTGTTCAGTCACTCAGTTTTGTCTGACTCTTTGCGACCCCATGGACTGCCAGGCCTCTCTGTCCCTCATCACATCCCGGAGTTTGCCC